TTTCTACCCAAGTACGGAAGTCAAGAATTTCTTCGAAAACTTCCATGGTTGCTGAAAAAATGAATATGTGGTTAGATGAAGGAATTCAAGTCATCAAAGAAAGAAAAATAAAAGACTTACGTGCAAAGTTCCAATTTTCTCGAAAAAGGCATATTTTCTTCACCCACTAATCCACTAGTGAGGACGGTAACAAAACGGGTGTACCGGCCACGGTCACGAACATCCTCAAGGCTAACTAAAACCAATTTTGCTTCTAGCCACGAGGAAAAAGACTCCTTCACGAAACAGCTTGGGGGAATAAAGATGAAGTAAGTGACGGAAGATAAAAAGAGCGGAAATCAAATCTGACAAATAGTGAAGGCATGCGGCAGCCCTCCACACATGGGACCAATTTGGCCAAGGCAAACATTAAAATAGAAACAAAACTCGATTATCACTGGATCAATGGGGGTCTTAAACCGTAAAATGAAAGGGTAGGTATAAACGAAAGAAAACCCACTATGGTAAGACGTGATTCTTCGATTGGCACCAGGAATTACAATTAGGAAATCTGGTTTCCAATGACATTCTCGTTGAACTAAAGAAAGAAGGCCATTGAGAAAACTCTTAAGGAAAAATCTCAGAAACCGTAGGCTCACGCATGAGTTCATTCTAGTCCCTATTTTTAGAAAAAGATCTAGGGGTCAGAGAAGCTCTAGGCTTAGAAGAAGATGGCCTGGCGGAACTACTTTGAGAACTAGAACTACGAGTAGTTAACGAACCAAGGATGCGGAGTCTACCACCTATCCTACTCCTAGTAGGGGTAGTAGAAGGAGCAAGCTATTCGACGATCACAACTTTGCAAGGGTATGGTGTTGAAGAAGACATGCTTAACTAAGAAAATACGGAGAAAAGGTACAAAACTACGAAGGAGGGTTAAGATGATAGATATAGAGAAGAAGGAGGAAGGTTTCAAGAAATCAAAAAGGATGAAGTGTTTATAAGGAGATACAACCGTCGTTAAAATTGATCATTATGAAGTGTCATAGTGGAACCGTCTTTTCGTGACTAACGCAGCCGCAGAAAAACCCATAAAAAAGTGCTGAGAAACTGCAGAATCAATCATGAGAAGCCACGTGGCATGGGCATTAAATGAATGTGACATACGCCGCACCAATTTTGAATGAGGCATAATGATACTCGAGAAACGGAGGCACAGAATTCCCGCCATAAAAATTTACCACTTCCCGAATATTCAGTTAAGAATATTTAGAAAGTGGGGGGATTATTTGTATTGGTGAAAAAAAGACATGACACGTGGACTATCAACAAGCTGACAAGGTATGGTACGTGGAACATTGATATAATAAAAAGTGGTGTTCTTAGTTAGACGAGTTAAGGAATGTAGGAAAGGCAAAGGAGAAACACCCACGGGGTTATACTGAGGAAAAAAACCGGACCTGACAACTGTAAAAGAAAAAACAGGAACGAAATGAATAAAGGGTGTGAAGAAGGAAAGATACATGAACCTGTCATAAATAAGGAAGGAAAATCTGTACAGTTACAAGGAATAATTAATCATAAATGTTTTTGTTACAATTGTATATAGTAACGGGCAATCAAGACAAATAATACCATTAGTGAGCCCAAATTAAGTAAGTGAACCATTATAATTATATGCTCCTATATAAGGGCTGAAATCTCATTTGTAATGGCATGAAACAATGATTGAAATTTATTTAATCATTCTTTACTTTGTTCTCAAAGTTCTAAACCGTAATTTTGGGAGCGATTACCGGTTCATTTCATATTTTCTTTGTCGATTATTTCCATTCTTTGATTTATTCTACAAAATTGTTGGGAAAGTAAAGTAAATCTTGGTTATCAGTAACGCGATTTCTTCTAGATATTGACTATGACCGAGAATCTATTTTTGGGTTAAACAATATCTCGCACAATTCGATCGCCATGATGTGACATGGCTTTTACATAATCAACTTCCAGTCCAGCTATGGCTGAGAAAAGTGTGTCAACATGAACGATCACTCGCGTGATAGTAGTAAATACTCCGTCATTCCAAGGTTTACCACTTCATCCTCGGGTTGGGATCCCCCTCCAGTGATGTTTGGTCCACTATTGTTCAATAGGGTGTTGATTTTGTCACACGTGTCCTATATACTATTCAATGTACAAGATCTTTTTAGCTAAAAAGTTAGTTTAACCATGATTTTTCCTCTCTCTCCTGTTCTACGTCCATATGTACTCAAGACTACCAAACATATTTTCTTTCACTTCATGCTAATGAATTATGAGTCATGGTTCTTTTCTGGATATGTTCACGTCCATTTTAGCATCGGTAAAGAGGAGGTAAAATCACCTAGCTGTGTTCTTTCTAGGATGTCAGGATTGAATTTAGTGACATTCGAAGCCATTTTAATTCTATCTCATCTATAGCCGCAAAATAACTCCTGTAGGACGTCATTTTTCATCTCACCCATACCTTCGAAAAGAAAACAATTTAGGATCTCAAACAATAAAACATCGGACATGAATTTGGTGGTGGTGGTGTTTATCAATCTTAACTTGAACACAACAATAAACATGGCAATGAATGGTAATGATGTACCCTAGTTTGATAAAAACAATTTACTACCTCATCCTCTTTGAGTAATTGAATGAAAAGTGGGTGATTGAAGTATGAAAAATTATCTTCTACTTGCCCTATTTTAATCGCCACATACCCTTTGGAGACATTGTTAATTGTTATTTGTCTATTTCTTTCCTGGACATTTTTCATCTCACCCATTGATTAGTATGTTGGACACGTGTGACAAAATCAATACCCTATTCAACAATAGTGGACCAAACATCACTGGAGGGGATCCCAACCCTACATCTTCATCGCGTCTATGTTCTGTTAACAATGCAATACAGTCAAAAAAGTGGACAATTTTATTGTATTTCATTTAAAATTATATTCTACAATTAGTTGCAATAATACTACCGAATAGAAACTCAATGTAATCAGTACCCAACACTCGGACTCGATCAGCCGAATTTTCTAGCTGGCTCGGATACCAAATGTTAAAAAATTGTCAGTAGCATATATGAGAAAGCAAAAGACAATAAAAGTACTTAATTGACTTAAGTAATATATCAAATACATCAGACACTTCAAATAGAAGAAAACTAAGAATTGGAGATGTCCATGACTCCTAAATAAAAGAGGAAACTAACTCCGCTTGACCATAAACTCCACTAGCAAATGTCTAAAGACTAGGAAACTACTAATTTAACGGTTGCCTTCATTATATCAGTAAATAATTAATATGTTAACAAATGAGCTAAATAACCTACAAAGCCAAATTGCCAACAAATTGTCTGTCTTTTCACGCTGGTGTTTCTGTGATGTTGTGTAACTTTCCTGATCTATGAATTTTGCAGAAAAATAACAAAGGTATTTCATGTTATCAAAATTGTCACACCTATCATTTTCTTTGAAGGAGGAGACTAAGTTTGAGTTTCCACATTTAAAGGGAGAGGTAAAATGCGTTAGGGGCGATTGTTTAACCAAAAAATAGGAATTTCGATCAAATCCTATTTTTAGAAGTACTCGGGTTACTGATAATCAAGAAAATTAATATTCTTGCAATAAGAAAGGAAATCAGAATGTGAAGTAGCAAGGTAATCAAAAGGAAGCAAAAGTAATAATTATATTCCAATAATAATCAGAACGTGTCCATACAAATAACATTTCTGTTCCTTATATAGTCATCTCTAAGTACAACGTCTTTTTCCTTTTATGATCGAGTCATTATGATCATTAATGACATTAATGAAACGTTATAATTGGTAATCGTAATTGTTTCGTGAAGATTCTGTAATGTTTGTAATCATTCATGCTCATTAATTGAAGTCCAATGAATCTGTCATTTTTATTGTCTTAGTTCATTCCACCGGTACCTCTTCAAATTACTAAAGAGACTCGAGCAACCGTTTCTTCTCGTCTCTTAGACGTTTTGCTTGTACCTATTAAGACTCACGTCTTTTAAAATACTCTTTTCCAGCTGTCACTTTTCTAGTGATCCACATGTCTTGTCATGTCAGCCACATAATTAATTCCACATGTAATATTTATTTTCCCCAATACAGCAATGAGGTGGCATGCCATGTGGCATCCACCTCATCAAATATTAGCGTCATGTAGGATTTGATGTCTACTTTGGACAATCTTAACGAAAGAGGGGTATATTTAAACCAGTAGTATGTTGTCAGGGGTATGTTTGGACCCAAAGTATAACTAGGGTATATTTAAACATTTTCTCATAGTATAGGGGTATATTTGGACCTTTTTCGTTTATTTTATACCCTACAATTGAGGCGTGAAATACGCATGTTCTTTCTCTCTATTCCTTCTTTCTCTATCAGCAAGATTCTCAATCCTCTCTTCTATCTCTCTCCTTTTTCCATCAAGACAGTCGTCGTAGCAGTCCTTTTTGGTGGCCATGGCGGACTTTTTTAAACGAAGAGAATAGATCTGAAGCAAAGAGTGAGCAGGCGAACAGATCTGGCCATGGCTACAGATTGAGCTTTTGGAAATCTGAAACAGGATCGTCGGAGAAAATTTGAGGGCCGGGTTTTTGTTCGTCTCTATTTTTAGTTTTAATACAATGTATACAGTAGTTTGCTTTTCTAGAGAATGCAATCTCCGGCACCTAAAAATTCCTCATTAAAAAAGGAATATTACACAAATAGCAATCCAGATTCTAAAAGGAACTAGTCCACTATGGTATTGGGCTATCGTAGTCTTAACGCTGATTCCACATAAAATCATTTGAGATAGCAAAAAATATGCGACACACATCAAATTTGAGAATAGACTAAAGAAGTTATTCAAGAAAAGAAAGTTCTCATAGTATTAAATAAAATGCTCGAGTAGCACAAGCAGGACATCACAAAAACATACAAGATAGATCAGGTAATCCTTCCAATATTACAACCATAACTAGAAATATCAGAACTTAGAAATAATCCATGTGAACACCAATAGCATACAAGCAAGCACCACTTCTGCCATGAAAACCAACAATCCTTCCTCTTGCTGCTGCAGACCTAAAATAAGTTCCAATATCACGTCCGTAGGGGCCAAATTTTCTCTTGTTTGTATAAAATGTTATCTGTTTTATTGCGTCTGTGCTCCCACCAAAATTCTCAACCATAGCCGGACCATAAAATCCATCAACTCCAATCAAGAACTCATTTTCACCATCAATGTTTATCTGTAACATATTCAGAGTCATGCCAACGAAATCAAATAACAAGAAGAATTTTCGTTGAAAAAAATAGAAGCAGAATATTACTATAATTCCGTCGCTCCCAACTCTATCACCACGATGTGACCTACGCGATGCTTTTTCTTTTACATAATGAACTTCCAGTCCGGTTATGGCTGAAAAACATGTGTCCACATGAAGGATCACTCGCGTGATAGTAGTAAATACTCCGTCATCCCATGGTTTTCCACTACATCCTCCCCAAGGTCCAGCGCTTCGCGGCACAAGAGTAATCATCACACCGATGTTCTGTTAATAATATGATACAGCCAAAAGAGATGTGTACAATTATATCGTATGTACGTTCACCATCACTTTCATTAAAAATTATAATTGCCAATACTTGAACTTCATTCAACCAGCAACCAGAATTAGCCTATAACATCAGGTACAACCAACAAATTACCATGAACAAACTCTACATATAGTTTGAAATTCTTACAGAAATTTTGGTTTATATACTAAATTCGCACCCATATTTGTGATAAAGTAGTATAAGCAAATACCTCTAAGTCTAACTATCAGCTGTAGAAAAATCATATTCGGACAAGAAAATAAAAGATAAGGGCAGCCCGGTGCACAATGCATTCCGCATTTACGCAGAGTCCGCGGAAGAGCTGCATGCAAGGGGGTGTGACGTAGACAGCCTAACCTAATACAAGCCTTAGTGGCTGCTTGCACGGCTCAAACCCGTGATCTATAGGTCACACGGAGACAGCTTTATCGTTGCTCCTAGGTTCCAAGAAAATAAAAGATAGTACAAGAAAAAGGAGTGGCAAGTACGTACGTCATGGAATTCAGCAGTTTCTTCAATTTTAGGTTTCTTTGGCACAACTTTTTCAACTTGAGTGAATGTAGTAACTTGCTGCAAATAAACACCAATGGCATCAAGGTACCAACTAGAACGCCCGTGGAAACCCACAATTGCACCACCTTCTTTCATAACAAGTGAAAATTTAGTTCCATCACTAGCCTTGGTTCCAAATGGTGCATAAGTCTTTAAATTAGTTGTAAAACAAAGAGATTTTACAACCAAATTGCCGGCATAATGTCCTAATGTGCCGTTAATGCCTATCAAATATTCCCGGGGAGCATTCTCAATAGTAACCTGACAAACAATCAACCAATAAATTAAGCTACTTATATGTTGGCTATACAAATGATCTAAATAATTCTCAGTATTCAGATATTACTAAGAGATGGTACATTGGTTATTTGTGTAATTCAAACCTTCCCTTGGAAATAGATAAGGAAAAGAAAACAAAGTTGGGAATAATGCACATTAGACTAGAAACTCAAGGGCAGTCCGATGCTCTAAGTTCCAGTTATGTGCGTGGTCCGGGGAAGAGCTGGATAATATTAGATTAGAAACTAACATAGCCAAAATAAATTTAAAATTTCTAAGAAGAAGATGTTGTAGAGAAATATGAAACTAAACATAACTATTTTATAAAAGAAATGTATTACTTTGACATTAAATAACATCTACTTCTGAAGAAAGTGCAAATTAAATGGTGAGAAAATTATGTGGTTACAATAATTTTAGATATACCTCGAGTCTTTTATCTCCTCCGCTGCCACCAAACTTTGGTGAATTTATGATACCTTCTTCACCAATGGTTCGGAAAATAATGGAGTCTATAACTTCTCCATGAGCTATTAGTATCTCCTTAATTGGATATTTTAGCTTGTAATTCCATTCTGATCCATTGGTGCCTCCCCATGGCTCAACCAAGATAGACTTGCTTGATCATAACTTGGTTGATATTCCTTCATAAAACATGTACTTATCAAGTTAATGGTTCTCTTTTGAAAAATAAATTAATAGTATATAAAATTACAAGAAAGACAAAAAGAACGGCCAGGGTGAGGAAAAACTTTAGTTAGAACATAGATTTATATATATGCATGGAAGTCAAAAGTAGTTCAAAGAGATCTTATCAATAGTATTTTGCAGTGGAAAACAAGAAAAACCAAAATAAAAAGAAAAGTAGATTGCAAAGAATCATGGTTACCATTTTATGGTGATCTCCTGTTTGTTTTTCGAGTTCTCCCTAATTCACCAGATATGATGTGCTAGAGTTGTGACAAGGCTTGAGTGAAGAGAACTAAACATATACACATTAATGATTATGTTACACCTAGAGAATATAAAAGGCCTAATGGCATGCTGCCTAAAAAATAACCAAATAAGAGTTCAATCTAGAAACATGAGAAGTACTGGCGGCTAAAAGGCCAAAGGTTTGACATTAAAAGTAGAGCCGAGAAGATCATGCGTTCATACGTAATAAATCCAGCCCAGAACCTAGAGCTCCAGTTATTGGTTGATCTTAAAAGTATCGATTAAAAGAGATTAAAATTTTCTTCTTCTTTGAGATATAGGATGTACTCTCTCCGTTCACTTTTTGACAAGTATACTAAAAATAGATTTTCAATTTTAGTTGTCACTTTACGCATATCAAAAGAATACAAATTTTTTTTTCCTATTATACCCAAAGTATTTATTATTTATTTTAAATCATTTTTTCAAATCTTATAAAATTTACATCAATTAATATGGGCATCATACTAAATTATACACTTTATTTATTATTTCTTAAGTGAAAAGTCAAAACGTGCTAAGTAAAAGTGAACGGAAAAAATATAACTGATATTTATTATATATGAATAACAAATTGGACTGCAGTAAAATCAATGTGCACGCTTATGACTTCAAAAACTACATTGCATGATTTGAGAATAAAGGCCCTCGGTACCACTACCTAGTATCGATGAACTTAGGAATCATACTTTAAAAACGGTTAGTCCAAACCAGTCGAAAGATACTTTTAACATGATCTAATATGTAATGATTCGATCGGTCATTTTGAGAATTTAAATTCCGATCAGCGGCATAAGGTCTTGAGAAGCTTCATATTATGTTTATCGACTTGCGTGCATGGTTGAATTTAGTTACGGAGGATTCGGAATCGAATTGGAAGAAGGATTCTATTTCTGGAAGCTTAAGCGGTGAGAATTTGACCGGAATTGAACTTTTGAGTAAACGACTCTGAAATGGGTTTTGGACTTGTCTGCAAAGTTTGGCGTCGTTCCGGGTTGATCTGATAGGTTTCGGCGCGAGTTCTAGAAGTTGGAAGATTTGGAAGTTCATAAGCTCGATTCATGGCGCGATTTGTATTTCCGGCGTTGTTTGATGTGATTTGAGACCTCGAGCGAGTCAGTATTAGGTTATAGAACTTGTTTATGTGTGTAGACAAGGTCTCGGGGGCCTCGGGTGTGTTTCGGACAAGTTTTGGATATTTTGCATGGTTTTGGAACATGTGTGATTTCTGGTGTTTTCGCACCTGCGGCCTTGGAGCGCAGGTGCGGCTCCGCTTCTGCGTGAGCCTGATCGCATCTGCGATCTTTGAGCCTGGAAACTAGCTCGTTTCTATGAATGCTGGAACGCACGTGCGAAACCGCTTCTGCGGTTGGTCTATCGCATTTGTGAAGGAGTCCGCTTATGCGCTCTTGTTATTGCTTCTACGGCGCCGCTGATGCGGCCAATTGTCCGCAGATGCGGACCTAGGTCTGTAAGTCAAGTTCGCAAATGCAAACGCCTTCCCGCAAATGCGGTAGCGCAAATGCGCTTAAGTGCCTACAGATGCGGAAGTCCTCGCAGAATCCTTGGTTTGGCCATTTTCTTCATATTTTGAGTTTTGAACTTCGATTTTGAGAGCTTCTTCCTAGGTTTTTCAAGCAAATCGATTGGGTAAGTGTTCCTCACCTAGTATCTAATATATTCCATGATTTTATCTTCATTTATATCATTTGATTTGTGTTTTGGTTGAGAAAATGGTTGGTTTTTTAAGAAAGTTTTCAAAATGAAAAATCATGATCTGGGGGATCAAATGGTATCGGAATTTGATAAATTTTGTATGGTTAAACTCGTATCTGAATGGGTATTCGGTCTTTGTAAAATTTGCTGGGTTCCTAAGTGTGGGCCCGGGGGTCGACTTTTGGACCGATTTTTGGATTTTGTTAAAGATTGAGACTTTATGATCTGGAATAGTTTCTTATGAGTTTTAATTGTGTTTTGGAGTTATTTTGATAGATTTGAGCCGTCCGGAGGTCTTTTCGCCCGAGAAGTGCATTTTAGAGTATTGGTTTGTCGTCTTTGAGGTAAGTATCTTGCCTAACCTTGTGTGGCGGACTTTCCCTTAGGATTTGAGTCTTCTATGTTAATTGTAAACCGTGTACGCGAGGTGACGAGTGCGTGCTCGGACTTATTTGTGAAAGATGGCCTTTAGGGTTCTTAGGTCCTTATAGTCACTGTGTATGAAGGTTTTCGTGATACGTTTGAGTTCCTATTTGCTGGTTTCACTTCTACATGCTTCAATTAGAATTAATAACCTTAGGATTCACTCTTATTGCCTATTTAACTCTTATTTGAATTAACTGAAGATTTTGCCTCTTCTATCGTCATGATATCTTTTCACAACTGTTTATCTATAACTAAAATTTAATTCCATCTCATCCTATAATTGTTTAGTCTTAATTGGAGTTATGATCATTTTCTGCAGCCTACCATTAATTGAATTGTTGAGTATCTTTCGCAAATTGCTCAACCTTAAAAGGAGTTTAGATAACCTATATCTTAGTTGGCTGCCTTTATTTGGGACTATTGGACTCATGTTGACTTCCTTATTGTTGACTTGTATATTGTGGGATCGCTGCTACATATTATTTTTCCTTGTTGAACGGTTCCCTTTATGCCTAGTATTATTTACTGTGGTTATTCATTGTGAATTGGTTCTACCGTTTCTTTGTGATTTAAAGTTCTTGAGTAGAGTTACTCGCCGTACTTTGTATTATTATCATTTTTGCTGTTGTACATGTTGTGGTGATGTACGAGATTTCTACCGTGCAGTAACTGTTATTTCTATTGGTTGCGCTGCATATTTACTTTGGGACTATGGGACGGTATCCCGGTATATCCCCATGTTCTGCATATTTGGGACTACGGAATGGTATTCCGGTAGATCCCCCTGCACATTTACGTTTGGGACTACGGGACGGTATCCCGGTAAGTCCCCTTGTTCTGCATAATTACTTTGGGACTACGGAACGGTATTTCGGTAGATCCCCCTACACATTTACGTTTGGGACTACGGGACGGTATCCCGATAGATCCCCCTGTTCTGCATATTTACTTTGGGACTACGGAACGGTATTCCGATAGATCCCCCTGCACATTTACGTTTGAGACTACGGGATGGTATCTCTGTAGATCTCCCCTCCCCCTGTTATGCATAACTATGGGACTCCGGAATAGTATTCTGGTAGATTCCCCTTACACATTTACTTTTGGGACTACGGGACGGTATCCTGAGAGATCCCCTGTTATTATCACTGTGTTCTGAGTTGTTGTTTTTCATTGATCCTATCCCTGCAAACATTCTACGTGATGTCTGTTCTTTTTCTTATGCTTACTAGCTGGTATGAACTATGTTAGGACACTTGCACAAGCATACACATGGCTAAGCACCCTTATCGGATAAGAGGCTTCTTGATATTGCTGAGTATAGACGCACGCCCTTGTTTATTTGCCTTCCATGTAAAAATGGCTCTATTTGGCACGTGAGTTGCCAGTATGATTATGAGGTGTGATGAGCGCACATGATGCCAAGTGTTAGGGTTCGGGTATGGAGACCCGTATTGTATGATTATGAGATGAGGTGTCATAGGGTGACTTATATTCGAAGAATATTTATTTGGAAAGCTTATATTCGAAAGGTATTTTTTTTTTAAACTATTTTTGAAAAATATTTATTTGAGGGAAGTATATTTCGAAATACTTTATCACTTGAAGGATTGCCTAATTGATTAAAGTTTGTTGACTAAGACCTAATGTGAAAACTATCGTAGTTGCTGAGTTATGACTTGTCTTTACTGTATTTGTAATTTTGGATTTGGGTTGTATTTCCGTTCACCTTTCTGTGTACTTATTATGGTGTTCCGCTGTTACTTGTTGTTTTCTTTCCTTATTGCAATTACTGTATTGTTAGCCACATCGCATAGTCTTTATATGGATATCATGTTTTGTTGTTTCTATACTTATACTTGTTC